GTGGATCATCGGGCAGTGCCCTAGGTATCTGATTTCACAATACCCACTATGATTTCAACAGAGAGTTGAAGAAGATAGAAATTCAAAGGCAGAGTTCAAGGAGTCTTTGTCAATAAATCTTATCATGACAGCTCATAAACATCCTAGCACTATTGCTTGCAGGAAGGTGGATCTGAATACAGCTGTCCAGGGGGTGCCCTTCCACTCCATGAATAATTATAAGTAATACCTTTAATTTTCATGCCTTTGTGGTGGTTCTACAGTGGTTACTTTTTAAAATCCATTCTGTGCTGGATGCTGCTGAGATGCTGGGATGCCGCTGAGATGCTGGGATGCCAGGAATTTGGGGGGACGGATTATGAGGGAGGGAAGCTGGGCAGCTTCTAAGGGCTATCACCAGATAGCCTGAACTGTACTGCAAAGTATTCCTGACAAATGCAGGAATCAAAAATAAATAAATTAATTAATAATTTGGAAAAAACATGACTCAGCCAGCTCTACTGGTTGTCTGCCTGGGACAGAAAAATTCCAAGCCAAAGAAGGCAGACCCAAGAGGACAGCTGCTTAGAAAATCCCAGGTACCCATCACAGAAGAGTTGAAATTCTCTTGCTCTGTGTAACACAGGTAGAGTTAAGATTTAATTACTTTAAAACCCCAGTGTCTGCAATGAGGAAAGTCAAACAAAGGACATTGCAGACTTCCTCACACTATTATTATCTCACAGGAGACTTCTTATGCCTTGTTTCTTCATGGTTTGAGGTACATTTCAGGAATTTTTTAGTCTTTCCTCTCTGGGTCAGGAAGAGGTACACAAAAATACATTATTATCTACAAAATAGCTTGATTATTACGACTTTGTTATTATACAAAGAAAAAATAGAATAAGACTAGATTTGGGTAATTTTAAAGTAATTTGTAACTGATAGAGATAATTAAATTTCATTTTACACTAAAAAGTAAGTATTTTGTTTCATGTTGGTTTATTTAACTTTTAAAAGTTTTAAGAGTATTTAACTTCTAAAAGTTAAATAAAATCATTTCGCTTTGATAAAATGAGAAATGTCATTTTAAACCATGATCAGTTTTGCTTAAGTGGATTTTGTCGATACATTTGCAAAGATTTCCACCTTCTGTGTGGAAGGGTGAGAGTTGAATTTGACCTGATTCTTCAGCTAGATCTGGACCTCCAAAGCTGTATTCCTTAGGAACACAACATGCCTTAATGAAAAAGTCTGCACTCATCATATATATAAGAGATTATAGCTCAGCCACTGACTGATGGCATGACCTTCCTCTCTTAACTGAAATGGTAGCAATTGCAATCCCAGTTTTCAATGACATTGAAATAAGTAATAAGGCTTTAAAAATGAGATGACTGGGCAGGAATCAAAAATTCTTCCTAAGTCTCAGTCCCACTTTTATTATACAACACTTTTAAGGTTTCGTATATGAACAGTATGAGACTACAGTTCATTGGGGGCATCTGCTGGTCTTTAAATTAAGAGCACATGGACAACAGCGCTTAGAGAAAAAGCATATAAAAGTATTATAATATTTGGTTTTGAAGTACTAGTTTCTGCTGCTCAGATTAACCAGAGGCTATTTAATACTTCCCTGATGCTTAAAAGATTAAATATAAATATGCATACGTACACATAGATATTATTCCCAGCTATTTTGGCTTTCATTTCAAGTCAAATGCAATTACCAGTAAATTATAAAACAATTATCAGAATAAGGGATTTGAAGGGACCTGTTACTCAAAGATTATGTAATTCTGAGAGCACTGATAGCACATTCACACAGAGATTGCATGCAGCAGTTGCCATTTGATCTCACCACAAAATATTTGTGAAAAAGTCATATAAAAAAATATCTCCCCATTCTCCTTACCCATCGGTGAGTATTTCTCGTGGTAGACAGTGTAAGCTCTTTCATGAGCGGCAGCTAGGGCCTGGGCTTGGTACTGGGGGTCATCGTAAGGCAGGCTTTTAAGGACCTCCGGCAGGTCACTGAAGGTGAGCCACACATCGACCAGGTCCCCAAAAACACGGAAGCTGAACTCTGTGTATTCCACAAAAAGGTCAGCAAAAGCGTCGGCTTTCCTACCCATGGTCTGCGCGGCCACAGCACTAGGGACACGCTGGTGATGCAGAACTACCACCGGCCTGAGGTCTGCAGCAACCAGGGTCTCGAGCAGCTCCTGGTAGCACTGCACTTGAGCTTCATCTGGCTTCCTGGCATTCCCCTTTGGAAGAATGCGTGCCCACGGCAGGAAGACTTTGTAATGCGTCACCCCGATCTCACGAAGGTGGGAGAAGTACTGAGGCAGCTCAGGAGCCACAAGATCTTGTCGGCACAGGTAATCATGGGCTTCAGCCACGGCAGGGCCCTGATATTCCTTGGGTAGGACTTGGTTCTGCAGATGCAATCTATTTATTAACTCGCTGGGTAGAGGTCCAGCAATGGCGATAAAATTCTGAGCAAATTCCCCGTCTATCCCAAGGCTGGGAGAGACTAACAGAAAGAAGACGACTATCTTGCAAATCAAATCCATTTCTGGACCTGCTTCAGAAATAGTTATTCAACACTACTTATACTACAGTAGAAGTAATATTTAACTGAAATTATCTATTACTCAGATAAATGTTCCCAGAACTAGCTGACACTAGAATGATAACAAATCAGGACTTTCAATCAATAGATGAATGAACAAATGGACAAATACGAAAAACACCGTCAAAAAATCAGTTGGAGAAAGGTCACATGGAAATGTTTTCTGAGATGCTCAGGTTCCCCTTTAAGCTTGAACATCAATTGACGTTTGCTATACTGCCTCCATTTCAGAGGAAGATAAAACAAGTAGACAATGCTTTTCATTTCCTCTTGGCCTTTTTTGGTTTAAGAGGAATCCCAGCACAGCTCTGGATGCAGAAAATAACAAGAGCAGAGTTATCTGCATTGTCAGGGCTGGGTACCACCACGTCTCACTGTGTGCAGGACAGCAAGAGGCACATTTGTGCTCCAATTCTTGGATGCATAAAAGCAATCTGAGATGTGGCATTTTACCCACTTGGAAAAGTGGCTATTACATGAATTCAGGCAGCAGCAACAACGTGCGTCCTCATGCCCGATAACATAAAGGAATCTGAGGAATCTGAATATCATTTTACTACATTCCAAAGTACTCCTTCCTTCAGCCTTGAAAAACACATGCTCTCTCAGCAGGGTGGACACATACAGATCACCTACCTGAACTGCTGCAGGGAAGAGATAACTTGACTTTCTACATTCAAATACAGCAAAACTGAAGAGCTGAGAACGTTTGCTGCCTAAATATAGAACGTGTTTAAATCAACTAAACACAAAATTCTACATAACTATATTGAGAAGTCAGTTCCATCTCCGAGTTGTTTATTTCCTTTAATAAACAGTTTTCTGCCTAAAGCATACCTGGAATCATCTGGGCAACTTATTGCTCTGTCAAGCAATATTATCTTTAAGTTACAGAAGAAAACGTCTCTCAACTTTTGCTGTTATTCAAATAGCCAATCTTACAGCTTATACAGGGATTGTAATTCGTGTACTTTGACCCTGTTTGATTCGCAGGTGACTTTTTTTTTTTTTTTTTTTTTTTACAAAGCCTTGAAAAGCTTACTGAAACATTGTACTTACTGTTCTGAACAACTACCTACCCTCTTCTTTTTTTTTCCCCCCTCATGTTTGAATAACAAGTTTGAATAGGAAGGTTACAGCACCACCAGCTGCTTATTTTTCAGTAGAGCAGTGTTAACCCAGAAAGAGAACACCCCTCCTAGCCTACGAAGCATGTAGAATTGGGGAAAGAGAAGCAGAAAAAATACTTTCTCCCATGTGAAGAATATTTATTATCAAACAAAGATTGGGGGGATGGGAGGGGGAAACACATAACGAAGTACAAACATCTGCCTGTCCTTATTCTGAAAGTAAACAAACAATATAGAATAACATGAAACTGTTGTTGCATGTGGGTGGCAATTTTAAATGAAATGTAGCATTTGCCAAGATGCAGTTTATGAAAGAAATTAGTGGAGAGAAGTTACTGCAGTTAGAATTAGTGAGTTAGTGCCCAGTGATGTGGTAGTGTTGTTGGTGACAAATATTTATGATTCCTTCCATTCCTTAACTATAACTGTTATCTTTAATGATATGCTTAGTTAGACCAAGGCATATCTCTCCAAAGCTGGGAGAGACTAACAGGAAAAAAGACGACTGTCTTACAAACCACTTCCATTTCTGGACCTGCTTCAGAAACAGTTATTTCACACTATTTATACTTAAAATATATAGCTTTGGTATCTTTCATGCTATGACAAATGTTTCTTAGGTGCTGGTATCAAGTTGACAAGACAAATATTCAGGTATTTTTAATTCTTAATAGATTATTTAATAATCCCATAGCGTACAGCAAATAATTGAGAATGACAGATTTAAGTAAAATTTTCTTATAGAAAAATCTACAAACAAGTTTACAAATATAGCCTTAAAAATCCCTCACAAATGATGGCAGTTTTCAATTCACTTACAAGTCAAGACATTCATCAAGGTGGGGGTTTCTGACCTCCTGACTTAAAGCCTTGCTTTGGGCTTGGCTATTTCCAATTTTCTATTTTACATATGCAACAGGAGCATACACATCTTTAGTCCATCTAAAAAGAAGGAGAAGCAATCAGAGTTTCTCATTATCCATTACTGGAAGTTAAAAAAACTTCTTAAAAAACAGCATCTGCCATCCAGGAAATTTAATCTTTTTTAAGACATTAAACATTTAGATCACTATTTTTTCAGCCTCAAAACATAGGCATAGAAAATAGCAATCCCGCACATGAGTGACAACAAATCCACCCCCAGACATCTCCAGACATTTAACGATCTTTTATTTATGTTAATAAGAAAAACAGTAAAAACCTATAGCATAAAAAAATCTACTAAATACAATAGAAGAACAATGCAAAATTCCTCTCATTTAAAACAGAAGCATCTACATAGCTTGATGCTGAAAAGAGCTATTGAATGATTCTCCTCTGCATCTGGATGATGGCATTGAAACCCAGAATTAATAACGAAGTTAATATAGAAGTGTGCCATTTCTTTAAAAACTTTCTAGGTATGCTCAGGGTAAATGAGCAATCATATATTACTAACCGCACATTGGCGCATTCCACAGTAAAGCATTCACAGGAATTTAAGATGTTAGCTTTACAGCAACCCTTGCAAGAAAAGAATGCATTTTCCAACATGTAACTAGTCAGCTCTACAATCCAGTTCCCAGCCCTTAGTCTTCCAGCAGATAGTTTGGGTTGACAACCAGGTACGGATCTTCATCAAAAGTCTCCTCTTCTCTGGATCCTCTCAGTCCTGACTGGGACAGTTCTATCAGAATGTGGTCCTGCAACAGACAAAAATTTGTATTCAAACAAGAACAGAAAGGTTTGTTTGTACTTTTTGAAAGGCATCTCCTTTTTATACTGGTTAGCACCTCTTATTGATGAATTATTTAACCCTTTTAATTGTGAACTCCCTCTTTATCAGGTTCCTAATCTTAACAATTAGGTTCAGTGGAAATCTCTTATATGTTGTATGCTTTCTAGGAACACTTCAATCTCGTGGTTTTGTACCTTTAAAAGTGAGAAGTATTTTATATTTTCATATTTTTTCCTCTAAACTGCCCTAGGCCCTCTGTGACTCAAAGCTATCCACTGAATAAAGCGTTGTTTGTATTTCTGTATCTAACACCATAGAAATACAGAAAAATATCACTTACACTTCTGTAGGGACATAATGTGGCACTTTTACTTATACATGTCTAATTTATTTCAGTGTTTTCTCTATAATTATTTTTAACAGGTATTAAACAAAGAAGGCATTTATACTGCATCAGTCAATAACATGGAAGCACAAAAGATATTTCTCAAATTAGGAACGTATTCTATTAAAAATGAATCACTGCACTATATAAGTTAAACCCCCTTTTCACTATCCACACATCTCTATACATACATAATGTGTAAGTCGGTGAATGACCCTCTCTATGATCTTCTTTTTATTTATTAGTTCTTCTTCAGATTCTATTTCAGATTCAATTTCCTTTAGATACCAATTAATAAGTTCACTCTTCTTTAATGATGAATCATCCTCTTCTGCAAAGAAAATAATTTGCATAAACACAGCATCAGTAAGATACCATTCAAACCATAAGAGAAAAGGATTTGTATGTTAACATTTACAATGCTGAAGAGAGAAATACGCTTTTTAAGATGTTTAAGAAACATGAGACTTTCTTCTGTTTCTTAAATCATGTTTTGTACAGGAGGCTGTTGTATCATGGTTTAATTGCAGATTTTTAGATTGAGAATTGATGCTTTCAGTTCTATGCATCCAAGCGGCTCACAAATTAAATGAGCAGCACAGCAACCACATCAGCCTTCAGCTTCAAGAAAACGTAGTCATAAGGACTCATACAACTTTCCTCTAAGTAAGGGCAAAAGAAAATCACTGTCACACAAAACCGAAGAAGTCATCCTTCTACATGGACTCAGCTTTTTGAACAGATATTGTAGTCTCCACACCCTTCCAAAAACTTCATCGCATTGGTGTATGCTATGAGACAACTGCTGCATTTCATTACAGAAGTAGCCTCATTGCAACTGAAATATTTCATCTCCCCAAGAAATGATGCAGCCATTTGTACTTACCATACTGGTTAAGTACATACTTTAGGCTGTGGTTGTTGGCATACATTAAAGCTCTTGCTACAGTTTTCACTGCTGCTGACTCTTCTAGATAGGTTAAACCAGCATATGCTACAAATCCTTTTCTGGATCTGCTCTGCTGACATGCTCCTCGACTTCCCGGGTTTTGACAAATGACTAAGATACCAGAGCTAGAAAGTCCAAGAAGTCATATTTGTATCATCAGATATAGTATAGCCACATGTGTACAGGTTCACACCTGACCTAACAAGTTTGGTGTCTCAGCATGAATGAAAATCCCAAGTGCAATAGCATGAGATGTAGTAACAGTTGCTCCCTGAACTCAGGGTCTGCTGCCTTTTTAATAAACAAATTCTTACCTTCCTCTGCCTTCCTGAGGTGCAGCACCAGGAGATTAGAAATTCGTCGATACTCAGAGAAGCCCAGTCTAAGAGAAGCTTTGGGTGCGGCATCCTTGTTCATGTCCTCAGAATGGCCGTTGATCCCATTCACAAGACCATTGACCCCAGCTGGAGCTTCTGCCTCACCTGTTTGGACACATGCCCAGGTTTAAATCTGTAAGATCTTTTAACTGTTTAATACTCTGAGCCACTGAAAAGTGTTGCATTGACCAACCACGTGAGTGGACCCACAAGGAGGCTGAAGAAGTAAGAGAGTTAAGAACAGGAGTCAAGATTCCTAGACCTTATTAAATGAGAAATAGGTGAGAAACTGAAGAGAAGCATATACTCAAACAAGGTAAGTTGTAAAGGCTGGAAGTACTTCCCCCTTTGAAAAAATTCTCTACAAGTAATTTACCATTGACTCCATCTTGGTCCTCTTGATCCTCCATTTGCTGTTCATCATCTTGGTCTAAATTGATGTCGGGAGTCTCAACTCTAATGATGGACTTATTTAAAAGCCTGAAAGCTTCCTTCACATGTTTTGGGTGAACCTGGGGAAGATTTGAAAAAACATGTATTAAATAGACACGGTGGCTCTTCTAGTGTTAAAAGCTTTTTTCCCCAATAGCTCCAGAAACTCACCTCTGACTCTGACGAAGGGTCTTTCTACCCATCCCACCTGACTAATCCTAAGCAGTAAAGATTCTGCAAGTCAAATTATATCCCACTACAAGTACTCTGAGTTCACACAAGGTTATAGAGGGAATAAGCAGCCTGATGAATCTTTCAGGCTTTAGTGGTCATGTGGAGTCGATCTTTACTTAACCCAAGAACATTTTGAAGAAAGATCAGTGGAGCAAGAAACATGAAAGAAATGGGTCTGAACAGAAACAGTATGAAAAAAAAAAATGTAATTAATGAGACTCTTCTCCGGAATTGAAAAGCAGAAACTGGAAAAATCATCTCTAGCTCTGCCATAGCTAAAAGCTATCTGTTTCCTTATAAGCTGAATTTAATTAAAAAGAACCCAGTGGGTGTCCTTCTTACACAATCAGTGAGCAAGTTTCTATCACTGCATGTGTCACAAAACCCCTAATCAACATTTCAAAAGGCCTGCTGAGTTTTAAAGCAGGGACTAGATGGATAGTAGTCATACTACAGTTAATAGCCATAACACAATACACATTTCAACATTGGTTGATGTGAGGAAGAGTTCAGATCACAAATACAGGTACTCTTAGGGAGGTTCAGATACTTCGATGAACTTTGGCTTTTTAGATTGCAGTGGAAGAGAGCTGTGAGAGATTACAAACTACGCAAGATTAGGAGAGACACTACCAACAGCCCTGGCTGATACTAATAGATGATTGTTCTTCCTATTTGTCATGATTTGACAAGTAACAGCTGAGAGCGCTGATACAAGTGTAATGCAAAACATGCATGTTCTCAGTTTGGACCAGGTGATCTCAGTTTTACAAGATATCCCTTAGAAACAGCATTTCTAGCCTACAAATTCAGACAGAGTACGACCACATTACAAGTGAAAACATGATCCAAGCTCTCCTCCTCACCCACAGGATTTAAATATGTACAATACCATAGTCAAATAGCAAAGCCAGAACTCCCACAACATTTATATAAACATTTATATAAACGTTCATCAAAAACCTGATACCTCATCACAGCAGTGCATACGGGCCATAGCTTCAGACAGCCGAATCATGCTTTCCAACTGTCGCACTGTGATTCTCCAGGATGACTTTGTCACTCCAGAGCCATCACGCTGCCGTAGTCGTTTATACTGCTCCACTATAAAGTCCTCAGACTCCTTAGATATCTTCATGACATAAGACAGTATGACAGTTTGTCATGTTAAAAGTATTAAAGTTTATTCTTCTTGCACTAGATTGGCAGTTCCCAGACTTCTCTGTACTAGCTACTGCTTTTTCTCTGAAATATTCTATGCTATACACATACTATACATAAATATAATGACAATCATATTATGTTAAAATTATATTGTAATAATGATTACAGTAACAATGATATTACAATAAGTACATTGAAGCATTAATGATTTTACAGCAGATTTTTGATCATTTCTATTTTTCTGTTCCACCGACTTGCTTCTGGTCATAATTCGTGTCTGTCTCTACTAGATTGTTCTATGTTTATTTGCCTTTCATTCTGCATGCAAACACACACACAAGTATACACTCGATATACTAACATTGACTACAGCTTTGTGTACATGCTTTTTAGCCTGATTCTATCTGCACATACACAGATCCAGCCAGAAAACAAACTCCCCACCACATGGAAATGAAACGGAGTTTTCAAAACTCTGTAAGGGAGAGTGTCCTCTCCTTCCATTTGAGAAGAACTACACTAGAAGAACTTCTGAAAAATCTAACACACAGCCCATCCAAGCTGCTATTTGGAATGAACACAAAAATTTGTACTTAAAGCAGTTTCCCACGTTCTGTATTTTACCACAAAGAAAGCAAAGAAATATTGAGGAACAATATCCTTTTAAAATAAAGACAAACAAACTGTTTGATTAAGCAATAAGTCAATAAAATACAAAAATCTTTGCAGCAGCCGTGTTGAATAACCCATGCCCTTGAGGTATGAGAAAGCTATGAAATGACCCCTCAATCATTCTAGACAGAGGTTAAGAACTGCTGCCAAAGCAGTTAAGACTACTGATTATAACAGTCTCTGCTGGGCTGGCTGGGTTTCTGGAGTTCAAAAAAAAAAAGAGTACATGGCTCCAAAATATGCTATGTTTCTAGATAATAACTGAGTTTACGGCTCCTTTCTTGAGAGAACACTACACTAAGTGTCTGCATTTGCCGGAAAAAGGCATGCCACAGAGTGACTGTTCCTTTGGACCTCCTCACGCAGAACAACTTATACAGGAAAGTAGAATTACCTTTGGTTTAAACTGTCTTGCAAACAGCAGATACCTTCTGATATCATCTAATGAGTAGACACGATCAACAGATTCTTCTACTCTGGAATGCAGATCCACTATGCGTCTGGCAATGGCATAATCTGTAACCTGGGATATTATTGCTCTGTCAGATCACTTTCACAACATCAGCCAAATATCAAAACAATAGCTATATTCTTCCTTCCCATTCCCCTCCCTCACTTGCACTCCTCATGGCAGAGCTAGTCTCTCCAGAAGCCAGACTCTCTGCCGGAAGATTGAGAACACCCTGGAGGTTTTTAATACAAGGAAACATAGCAGAGAAGGGATAAAAGGCAGTTTTAGGATTTATAACCTCTTGGAACTCTCCTGGGTTACAAGTTAGCCATAGAAGAGGCAGAAAGCAGCACTTTGCAGCGTGGGAACAGCTTTCTTCCTTTTCAGCCTACTCTGTCTCTTTCATCAGTCCCTTCTCAACTAGACAATCACTCTGAGTAAAACAGTGGAGAGAATAGTGCTGAACCAACATCAATCTCTGTATCTCATGCATTCCCAAGGCAAATGCCACATAGACAGGTGGTAGCACTCTTGGCCTTAGTGACCAGCGATTCGTAAAAATGACTAATGGTCTTAAGTTTGCAGGTCAAATCACTACAAGATGAAAAGGCAGTAGCCTTGTATTCAGCAGAGCATGTTCAAATTTGTACTGCCAGCTTTTAACTTTGCAGACAGAGAAGGAAAGCAGAAGCAAGACACTCTCATGAGATCAGCTTCACCTAAAATTGCAGAGGACCACCAAGATGGTCAGAAGGCAGGAGCACATGATGTATGAGGAGAGGCTGAAAGAACTGGGTCTGTTCAGCTTGAAAAGAAAGCAACTGCCTCATTGGTGAGTATAGATGTGATGGAGCCAGATTGATCCTAGAAGTACAGATTGACAAGAGGCAACCAACACAAACTGAACCATGAGAAATTCTGATTAGATATAAAGGTTATTATTATTTTTTAGACACATGAGAGTTGTCAAACATTGCAGTAGGGCCTAGAGAGGCTGCAGAATCTCCATCCTTGGAGATACTCAAAACTCACCAGGTCAAGGTCTTGGCAACCTGTTCTCAATGATCTGCTTTGAGCGTGAGGTTAGACTAGAGACCTCCAGAGGACTTTTCTGACATAAATTATTCTACAATTCCTTAAAATTACCTCATTACATTCATCCACAAGGATGAAGAAGAGATCGAAGCGAGACATGATGGGAGCCGACAGGTTTATATTCTGTTTCAGTGACTTGGATCGGTCATAGCGCCCGCCAACTGGGTTTGCTGCAGCTAAAATGGAGGTCCTGGCATTCAGGGTAGCCTGACAAAGAAGAAAAAAAAAAAAGAAAAAAAAATTAAAGAAGAATTGTATCTGTGACCACTTGCTAAACCAACTCATTGCAATTCGAATGGGTCAGCATAACATCTTTTAGATGGAGTTTCAATGGCGGTATTACAACAATCACTCCTCAAAAGACCCCAAACTCTTCTAACCAGCCCTTTCAAACCAGGTCTTTGCCCCAAGACACAGTATGATGAATCAATATTTTAATATTGTCACACTCTTGCCAACAATACTGAAACAAGCCCTTAAAACTGCTTTTCACAACACCCTGTTTTTAACAGTGCAAATACACACTTTACTTCTACAAACACACACAAATCTATATCCTCTTTTGGGGTTTCTTTAAGGTTAGGATTTTCCCATCTTCTGTTTCCTGTCCACTACTATCTCTTTTTTCCTTTCAGTAGCATTTCTGATCTTTTTGGGGTATGTGGCACAAAAACTTTGCAGGCAAGTGATCTCTGTCCTGCCACAGTGAGGCAGCTGCAGAGCTGACACAAAAATCTGACACATGATGTTAGATCAGTACGTGTAACAAACAGTCAGGCGATCATACAGACCACACAACCAGAGGAATAGCGCAAGCTACCTTTACTCCTGCTTTAGTAATGGATATAGTCTGCTGCTCCATTGCTTCATGAATGGCTACTTGATCCCGCACGTCCATTTTGTCAAATTCATCAATGCAACAAACACCCTGCAGCGGAAGAATAAAAAATAATGTCACCCACATTCAATCATTTTTGGGAAAAAAGCATCATTAAGACATTGGGGCTCTTTGTCATTAATCAAAACCATTCCAGGTATGCAGGAACCCCTCTAGTTCCTGGACTCACATTATCCGCCAGCATCAGTGCTCCAGCTTCAATGACAAATTCATGAGACTCTTCATCTTTTACAACAGCTGCTGTTAGACCAGCAGCACTGGAGGCTTTTCCACTGGTGTATACAGCACGAGGACTGAACTCATCCACATGCCTATGGAGAGAACAGTGAGGAACAAACTTAAAAAGTCAGATTAAAACCTGCAGAAACAAGATAACTGTAATGCAGTACTGCTTTCAACCTCTCAGGCCAGGACTTGTTCCTTCCTTCAGGAAGCAATTAATATTTAGGTAGGCCCTCCCACCTCTAATGATGTTTGAGCAAGCCCTGGAAACTAATCCTTATCTAACTAATCCTGTCTATCACAGGTCTGTTACTCACCCGTAATAACACCAGCAGAAAAAGTAATCCAGACCTCCTCCCACAAGTTTTCTGCTGACTTCACAAGCTAACACAGCTCCTTATGGGTCAGCTAAATGTCAGCACAAGGGAACAAATGGCTTCATAGCAGGAAGCAGGGAGACTGACCACAGGCAGCCTAAGGGAGTTTTTGTGGCGCCTCTACATTTCTGAGTTGCAGTGTATGCTGCAAGGACCTCAGCTTCATGGAGAATGATGCAGAGGTAAATGAACAGCATGGTAAAATAAAAACATATTAAATAGAATTTCTAATAAAAAAGCATTGTAATATATGATGTAGCGTAAAACATAATTATTTTATAATTATTTTTCAGGGCTAATAGTTGTCTATTTGTCCAAAGTGTTGGGACCTACCAATTTAGACTAAGCTAAAAATAGGAAAAAAAAAAAAGTATATTTTAAGATGTGCAATAAATTTTGTATTTTTAATATTCAATGTCTTTTGAAAATATTTGGAAATTCATACTTTGATAACTACCTAAAGAACAAAAAAAGTCTTAATTCATTCTTTATTATTACCACAGGGGCTTGCTGAGTCTGCTTCAGCCTTGTTCAAATACTTCAACCACATCCAAACAATTCCTGGAAAATATTCTTAAATATTTTATTTCCCTTTGCTCTGTTTAACATTTATAGCTCTAGTCACACTGGACAATATTTAAATACTGAGTTTTAATGAGATGCTTACTTTAGAAATTGACTCTTGGCTGTACTTGGATCACCAACAACACAAACATTGATGTCCCCACGCAATGAAGTGCCTTCTGAAGTGGTCTTAGGAACTCCTCCAAAAAGCATTAGCAGGACCCCACGTTTCACTTCATCATTACCTGCCCCAGAAAAGACACTCGGCTAAAAATCCAAAGAAAACACCACATTTTTCCTATTTAAAAAAACCTTCAGCCCACTAGAATTTTAGAGCATTTGGGAATGTCCGCTCAGAATTTACCTATTTGCCAAACATCCACTAAAACTGCATTTATATGCTTGATACAGTTTCAGGGAAGAATGACTCAGAAAGCGGCTGAATTCCTTTACGCTACAGTGGCTCAGAATATGGACCAAATTCAGCTGATCAAACTTTTCAGACATAACCAACATAAATCCTCAAACTAGCTCTGAGCCAGAAACAACTGCAAACATATACACACACATGCATGCACAACAGCATACAAATATTCGGAACCTTTAAATCTTTTGAAGGAAGCCCATATAAAATAGAGCTATATCCAACTGTCATAGAATCATAGAATCATTAAGGTTGGAAAAGACCTCTAAGATCATCAAGTCCAACCGTTAACCCAACACCACCATGCCCACTAAACCATGTCCCTAAGCGCCTCATCTACATGTCTTTTAAATACTTCCAGGGATGGTGACTCAACCCCTCCCCTGGGCAGCCTGTTCCAAGGCCTGACCACTCTTTCAGTGAAGAAGTTTTTCCTAATGTCCAGTCTAAACCTCCCCTGGTGCAACTTGAGGCCATTTCCTCTCGTCCTATCGCTGGTTACTTGGGAGAAGAGACCAACCCCCACCTCACTACAACCTCCTTTCAGGTAGTTGTAGAGCACGATGAGGTCTCCCCTCAGCCTCCTCTTCTCCAGGCTAAACAGCCCCAGTTCCTTCAGCCGCTCCTCATAAGACTTGTTCTCTAGAACAGTGTCAGCTGTAGGGTTTAGTAGTAGATCACCCAATAGCAAAACCAACCGTTTTGACTAGTCTTGCAGGCCTTAATGATTAAACACAGCAAGTACTCAGGAAATAGATTGTCCTTTTCTAGCATAACCAGTGCTGGAGGGGAGAATTTGTGGTAGTTAGCATAAGGCTTTCAACCTTTCCCAAAATGGCAGTACACGGACAGCAAAAAGAATTAATATTTTCACAAGTGAAATCTTCCCTCTCTGAAGCAACAGCTGGAGTCTTACCATGGATAGTGGGGAAAAGGCTGGTGCATAGATTATGGTAAAGGTTCTTATCTTGGCTCATTTCAAAAACTTTTTCCCACTCTTTCACAGACATTTGATTTTTAATGCTTTCTGCAGTCTGTTCTTCATCTCGGAGTTCTTTTCCACCAAACTAAATAAATAAAGTAAAAAAAAAAAAAAAAAAAGTAATAAAAGTAACAACACGGTCACTACTGAATGTGAGTACTGCAGACAGGAGATTACAAAAACTGGTTCTGTAAGCTGAATGGGAGGAACACATTCAGAAAAGCTGACCTTAGGCTACGGAAGCTCATCACCTTATACCTTTAAAAACCAATAGACAATTTTCTAGGGGACGAAATCAATGGAGTGTAACTTCCGTTAGTGAGAAAAACCCGGGAAGGATGCTTGTCCAGAGATTAAAAAGAAAGTAAACCAGTATGGCTTCCTTTGGCTAAAATTTGCCTTTGTGAGCATTCTTCATTAATTGGAATTTACAAGGTCTTTCGTTACTCTGGAATGAGGCCCCAGAAAATAACAGATGCTGGCTTTATCCTATGTGACGGTGAAGCTGCTAGCAGAATTTTAGATTAAAATATCACACCATGCTAAAACCTAGCCATAGTCAGTATTACTTATTATGTTGTAGTAATATCCCAAGATGTTATGTGATAAACCAGAGGGAATAAGAAGGATCGCTGTTTTCCCTGTGACAAAATGAAGCAATAGGATTTCCTGGAGGAAAAGGAAATGCTGCAGGAATGGATGAAAGCTGAATGGAAATAAATGGACCAGTTAGCTCTTTAGAATAAATTGATAACATTGGCATACAATCACATCTGTGAAAACTGCTATGAACAATAAAGACAAGAAAAACAACTTGCTATATAAATCCAATCCAGAATATAAAGACAGTCAAATGCACAGGAAGGTGGTACACATATGTACTTAAAGCTTTACCCATTCCCGCTCCCTAATTTGAGGTAAAACCATATAGAGCAGAAATCATTAATACCTTTAAATCTATTTTCTTTGCAGACTTACCCGTGGATTTGTTGGTGCAACATAACAAGCTAGAAAGACTAGCTTATACGACAGCTCTCTGACTCCAAGGGCGCGAAGTCCTCGGATGCCTTCGGTTTCATAGCCCTCTGTCCCGCTCACCCGGGAGCCGGTTTCTGCACGTACCCCTGCCATTAGATTGAGTGTCAGAACAGAAGTTCCCAGAATAAGCAGGAGGGACACGTCATCGAGGTCATGAGTGCTAGCAACAAACCTGGTGTTGAGAGCTGGGACACATCAGGAACGACAATCAGTGACCCTGTGAAGTCACATTTGTCACCTGCCTGAGCAGACTCCACTGCTTCTGCACGCAAGATGACTTCCACACTGCGAGGAATGCTACCACGCGGCAGCTCGGCCTGCGTCTCCTGAATGCGAACCTGCGGAGGGAGAGAATATTAAGTACTTAGCGGACGTCACCAAATTTGAAAATGCTTCAAAAGCTAAGCTGCTAATAAATACGGTAAATAGCATTTGATTGCTGCCATCCATGTCAATCATGGAATTTCTCTTACAATAAGACAACCAACCAAAAATCCCTTCACTAATCAGTATCTAAGGAGTCTTGGAGAAACTTAAGAGGATACACAGGGGCCACAATGACAATTCTGAGGGCTAGGAAAAGCAACTTGAACAGTCCAGTTAACGTGACTGACACAAAATATTATTGCAGGATGTGAAGTGCTGAGGATTTGGCAGGGTAAATCAATCTGGAAGAGCAAAACACTGCAGGCACTAAAAGACACCTCTTTTCCTACTCGTATAAAACGACTACACATGATGTACCTGCAACAAGAGACTAACAATGGCTTGAATATGTGGGGTTTCAGTGGCTTACTTAGACAATAAATATCACGCAATGTGGTGGTTTAACCCTAACCAGCAACTAAACACCACACAGCTGCTTGCTCACCCCCCCACTCTGGTCAGATGGGGGAGAGAATCGGGAGGGCCAAAGTGGGAAAACTTGTGGGTTGAGATAAAAACAGTTTAATAATTGAAATAAAACAAAGTAGAACAGTAGTAATAATAATAATAACAAACAACAACAATAATAGAATATAGAAAGCAGGCGATGCACAATGCAACTGCTCACCACCCACCGGCCGATCCCCAACCCATCCCCAGAGCCGTGAATCCCCTCTTCCCAGACCATGCCTCCTAGTTTATATACTGAACATGATGTTATATGGTACGGAATACCCCACTGGCCAGTTTGGGTCAGCTGTCCTGGCTAATGCTCCCTCCCAGCTTCTCACCCAGCAGAGCATGGGAAGCCAAAAACTCCTTGACCAGTGTAAGCACTACTTAGCAACAACTAAAGCATCAATGTGCCATCAACATTCTTCTCATACCAAACCCAAAACACAGCACTAGAAAGAAAATTAACTCTATCCCAGCTGGAACCAGGACATGCAATAAAACTGCTTTGATACTATTCATAATTTCCCGTGCTTAAACATAAGCCTTCCACAGAGAGAACGAAACTATTTGCAGAAATTCCAGTGCCTTTTCTTGAGGTCTTTTCTTGATGTTGAAGAACCAAAATTAACTGTCTTCAATGTGTAGCAGTACAAACAACACCCTTCAACTACCACAGGAACATCACTGTTTGTCACCATCCCCCGACCTCACCACTCTACCTTTTGGAAATCAACAAATCTTGATTTGTTTGTGTCCAGCAGGACTATTTGCAGAAATTCCAGTGCCTTTTCTTGAGGTCTTTTCTTGATGTTGAAGAACCAAAATTAACTGTCTTCAATGTGTAGCAGTACAAACAACACCCTTCAACTACCACAGGAACATCACTGTTTGTCACCATCCCCCGACCTCACCACTCTACCTTTTGGAAATCAACAAATCTTGATTTGTTTGTGTCCAGCAGGAAGTTTGGCTGCGTGTATTTAAATTGCTGTTCCACATCTTTAATCACTGTCTGGCAGTCGAGGCACAGGAAGGTTCCACTTACAAGCTCAGGATGGACTGGGTGGGTACGTACCACCTGTCCACTGATACGCATCAGTGAGCCAATTTTTGCTGATGTCAATTCTCGAATTCTATTTAAAACAGAAATTCATAAGGATTAAATTCTTAAGTTGAGTTGACATTTTTAGGCCCAGGGTACTACCCAAGTACTAAGATGCAACATAGTTTCATTCAGTCTGTGACTAAAAAACAGTTGTAACAGACAAAAGAAAGAGAGTTACTAGAATATATTCTTATTTTATGATTTTACATAAACTTTTAGATTGATACTAAAGGTCAAACCAATGCAAAGTTACTTCACTGGTACTTCAAAAGCAACACACTCTAAATAATTTTTTTTTTAATTAGAGAAGTTACATTTGTTTGTGGAATATGATGAATTTAATTATCTGAGTGTGATTCACAACTGAAAAACTGTTTCAAAAAATATCCTGCACAAGATCAGTAAACTTCTTCACAATTGTATTGGTCAACTGTACATTTTACACTATATAACCAAAACATTTTCAGTATGCTTTGACACTTTTTTCCCAGTAGTAAAAATGCACAAGTTTCTGGAATTAAAAATCATCTTACTTGTGTCTGGTAGGTAGATCTTGGAATGCAACATAAAAGTCCTTGTTAGAAGGAACATTTCCATGGTCTCTGGCAAAAGTCTTTACTGCTCGGCAGAGGTAAGGGTAAACCCTGAAATATGGAAAATAAGTTCAAATTTTATAGAAGCTATCAAAATGCCTTCTTTGCTTTAGACTACATCAAAGGCTTGTATCACACATTTCCAGGTTCTGGCTTTTACTGCCACATTTATGTAAGAAGACACAAAAGCTAATCTAAATATGAGATTACTGCATAATAATGCCATTTGCTTTATTGTCTGAAAATGGACTTTTTAAAGTCTCATTTTATGACACTTTTATCCTTGTATTAAGAAGCAGACCCTCAAAATAAGCCACTGGCTCAATAAAATATTTTCAGAGCAAGATGTTCTAGAGTTTATTCTGTATTCCTGTACCAACCATCTACTTCTTTACCAGAATAAATGCAATTGCCTAGTTAACTAATGGTTTCCAGAGAGGAATCCATTAAGAAATAAGTTTTGATCCAGTAAAAAAAAAAAATTCTTAAATGTAAGTGTTTTCAGGATACAGAAAGCAGATAAACCTCTCGTTTTTTATGTAACACACAAGACGTTATAGGCCTCAGACTGCAACATTGCTCAGCTCTCAGGTAATCTCTACACTTTACCTGTAAAATTCCTCCTGAATAGTGGTAGAGAGCTGCTGATTGAACTGCTCCAAATCCGCAAAGCTTACGATCAACGTGTTCCGCTCTGGCCGAATCAGTTCTTCAGCATCATGCAAGTATTTGACCTCCCCATCGCTATTCTGGAACCTGAAAGTGACTCAGGAAAACGTTTCACAGTTACGTACCAGGCTGCAATTAAATACTTCTGAATTCAGGAGAGAAAGAGAAGAAAAGGATTGCACCTTAAGGCAAAAGAATGACGGCATCCCACAGCCCCTTGCAAAGGTCTTTTCCAACAATATTTCTCCTTCCGCCCCCCTCACTACATCCGTTTTATGAACACCCCAGCACAGACACACTGGATCTGCATTCCGTACAGCTGGTTTGCCACACAGAATTTGATTTACGGTTTAACAATGACTCTGCACCAGCAAAACGGGTTTTTTTTTGTGTTCCTCAGGGTGATGTTAACGGTTTCCTTGTTTGCTGCTGAAGGGTCCCTCGGGAGACAAAACGTCGGGAGTCAGACGTATT